TTAGTAAGGTACTGTATCATTTTCATGATGATCTGTATAGTACATGTCATAGTTACATCCCTGTAGATATCAAGTTGATCAGCCATGTACCATGTATGATATGGATGAATGTCAAATTGATATTATTGTATTTCATTAACATATATAGATGTATTGGAAGTGAATTGAAGTGGTATAGATTTCTATCTTCAATGTTAGTATAGGTCAGTTGACAAGTTGAATAGTAAATTTCTTGAAATGATACCAAAGTATTTGAAATTGATATATATTGTTATTAACATGATTAATAAGGTGATATATTGATTTGAAATGTTTTTGAAATGTTTTTATTGATTTTCTAATTGTCTAATCTATTATATGAAATTAACTTATATAAGTTATTATAACGATGAAATATTATGTTATTATATAATTATATAGTCAATTTGGAGTATATTGATATATAATATATTGATTTATAATGAGTATTTATTGAGATAATGAATTAAGATGAATAAAAGTCAAATTGTTGGGTCTGGGTTTGGGTATGGCGAAAACCCATTACCATTTTATTAATGGCTAATATTCAAAACTTGGATCTTATATATGTTAATCAGGGTACAATTTTATCGACAAACTGTTATATGCTAATAAAAACTCAAAGTGGTTCTAGAGATAATAGGTACTCGATGAAAAAAAAGTTAGGTTTTCTTCGCATATCTCAATAACTAGGAATATCTGGTTGGGTTTAGGTTGGGTTGGGTTGGGTTTGGGTTGGGTTTGGGTTTGGGTTTGGGTTTGGGTTTGGGTTTGGGTTTGGGTTTGGGTTTGGGTTTGGGTTTGGGTTTGGGTTTGGGTTTGGGTTTGGGTTTGGGTTTGGGTTTGGGTTTGGGTTTGGGTTTGGGTTTGGGTTTGGGTTTGGGTTTGGGTTTGGGTTTGGGTTTGGGTTGGGTTTGGGTTTGGGTTTGGGTTTGGGTTTGGGTTTGGGTTTGGGTTTGGGTTTGGGTTTGGGTTAGGGTTTGGGTTTGGGTTTGGGTTTGGGTTTGGGTTTGGGTTTGGGTTTGGGTTTGGGTTTGGGTTTGGGTTTGGGTTTGGGTTTGGGTTTGGGTTTGGGTTTGGGTTTGGGTTTGGGTTTGGGTTTGGGTTTGGGTTTGGA